ACCTGTAAATCCATCTGGCCCTGGGCTTTTTTTAGTTGGGAGGTTTTGTATTACTGTTTCAATTTCTTTTTGTGTTATGGGTCTGTTTAAGCTGTTAATCTCTTCTTGGTTTAGTTTTGGTAGTTCCCATACCTTTAGATATGCATCCATTTCTTTTAGGTTTTCATATTTAGTAGCATATAGGGTTTTTAAAAATTTTCTTTTTATTTTTTTTTTTTTTTTTTTTGTCTAGGTAGGACTTAGTTTTAGTTTTTCTTTTCTTTTGTGCTCTTTCTTTCTTTTGGTTGACTGGGCTAGCGGTCTGTCAATCTTGTTTATCTTTTCAAAGAAGCAGCTCTAGGATTCTTAAATGTAGCAGTTGTACATATCATGCAGTTGACTGTGATAATCACGGAGATTAATGGATAAAGAGTATTCATTGATTTAAACAGTATCATTCATTTTCTTTTCAACAGAAGGGGACGAACTCGTAGTTCCTGAAACATCAGATAATAGTCGGAAGCAAATGGTTAGAAATCTCAACAATAAGCGGCGTTACTCCTTCAGAGTCCCAGAGGAGGAGAGGATGCAGCAGAGGAGGTAGATGTTCACTGTCTTCTCATCATCCATCCGAGCTCAGTGTCCAGAGGACTGGGGTCTGAGCATTTGTCATTCATCTGTGGCATCACATGCTGCAGGGCTGGGGTATGACTTGTTGGCAGAGTATTTGCCTAGTGTGAGTATGATTGAGACCCTGGATTCCACCTCCAATACTGTGGTTTAAAAAAAGAAAAATGGACGGAAACCCTAGTCAATGCAACCCCTCAGTGCCGTTTTAATTAATACTTTCAAAGCTATGGGAATACATTGGATGAAGTACCATCTTTTTATTTGCTTCTATAACATATATAGAAGTTATAACTTTAGCATGTATAACTTTCTACACTATAAACATAAACCATCTGTGCATATAGTAAGCTTGTATATGCCCAAGAAATTCAGAAGCTGAGCATGTGGCTCATGCCTGCAATCTCAGCTCTCAGAAGGCTGAGGCAGTAAGATTACCTCAAATTTGAGGCCAGCATGGGCTACTTTGTGAGTTCTAGGCCAGCCTGAGTTCAGGTTTGCCACCCTGTCTCAAAACATAAAAACCAAACCCAAAAATAGACTCAGATTAACTTCTCTTCATAAGTAAACAGATACAGCCACATTTAAAAACATTCTTAAAATGTTTATTATAAAAGATATACATATAATGTTCAAAATTATCTGTAAAATAGAGCAGGGGATCTTTGACATCTAAGTATTAAAGAACCCTTTTGAGCTGGGAATGTATCAGTGGTAAGGTACTTATTCTACATGTGCATGGTCCTATGTTTGATTTCCCAGCAGTGAACAAACTAAGTAAATAGACGTATAAATAAATAAAACCCCAAATTGTAAGATCTTACATATTTTTTAAACAAAACAATCTAA